AATAGATTTTTGACTACATTTAATTAAAGTATTAAAAAACTATCATGTTAAGCTAAAGCTTAGCTCAATTGTGAATCACAAACATCCCTTCAGCTTCAAAACTTCAACACACAGCAGAAACCGCAGCATGTAACAATTGCAGTCATATCTACAACACCAACAATAGCAACTGACATTTCAAGAGTCACGTCTAAATCAACATGTTACTAGGGCATCTAACTCAGCTATTCGCTCAGTTTATTCCACATTATTTTACACATAAAAAGCAATCAACCCTTAACTTTCATCATCATATAACGGTCAGTGCCTTTAATGTTTGCCTATTATTATTACTATTATTGTTGGGAGCGATTAAAAGATCTATAAACAGCAGTAAGGCAAACAAAACAAAATGAGAATGTGAATTGAATGAATAAGAAAGGGTCGCTTGTGCTTTCCTTGTCCCAAACATATTAATGCTCATTTTCATGGAAGTTAGCAACAACAGAGTAAAAACTGTAAAGGAACAAATCTGATGTAAAAGAACTATAATTAACTGATAAAAGATTATATTTTATGTGTATAATATTGTAAAGCTTGTTTTTAAAAACATTATTCACTTAACTGCCTTTTATTATAGTGAGATTTGGGGTTGGGAAAAAAGGGCTTTGGCAACATGAGAGTCATGCTAGTAAACAAACTTTATGTCACTTCGTTTATCACTTGTTGTGTTTTCACATCAATTTATGAGTTTTGGGGATAGAATGTGATGTGTTTTTTTGGGATTTATGGGCACGTTAGTAATGTTTACACTTGGATCTGACTATGTGTTTAATGTAATTCTTTATGATTCTACTCAAGGACAGTGAGACGACCTCTAATCCACAAAAAGCTAGATAATATGCTTGGTATTACATAGTAAGTAACTGTTCTTAGAGTCTTGAACCAGTTTTATCGACTTAAGCTAGTCTTATACTAATGCACACGTGATGGTGAACTCATGTGCCTCGAAAAAAATTCGAGAAATCTTACGTACCGTGTGTCGTGTGTTGACAAAGTAATGACTTATCACCAAGGTGTACCATGGCACTAAAAATGTTGCCATACAATGCTTTTCACTATGATTTAGAAGAATAAAGACTTCTTGAAATGATTGTGGATTCATAACCAAATTTCATTGCTGCTAAAGCTTAACTTAGAGTTCTGCGGTTAGAATGTATTCATAAATGATGTCTACCATATAGGTAAGGGAAAGCGACTGACACTGTGTCATACTTCCACACAATAGATTACTGTAGAGTTTTTGGGAAGAGGGGACTTAATGTTTTTTTAAACGTGTCATTTTTCTTTAAAGGTCATTAGCTTATGTCATCATCATTTAATTAACAGTCGAGAGATTTGTGAGCTTTTTGATTATTTGTCACCAAGATTGGAAAGGATGTTTAAAACTGTTGCTTTTCTTATTTGAAGCTGTAAGTAAATGACACCCTTAAGATATGTTTAGCACCATCTGAATATAGCAAAGCGTAAATAAGGCTCATCCTACATACACGTTCTTACAATTCTTCGAAAACTTTACACCAACGAGTTATCTCATTCGTTCATATTTTCTTCCAATTATATCTTTTACATATATCCAGCCAGCCTACTTCAATTCATTCAATCAAATAATTTTAAATGTCACAAGCAATTCAACTTTACTTAATGAGACATTATATTCTGAGTATCAGGAACAAAGTTGATTCTTAATAATTCATTAAACATTAATTCACAACTTTAACATTTTAATGAGCTTGCCCAAAATTTTCTGGGAAAATTGTTCTAAAAATATTCTTTATTATTTGCTTAAAAGCTGCATGCTAGATGCTTGAAGAATTTTATAATTGGATTTTTTTTTGTTCCGTAAATTCTTTAATAAAATTTTTTTCTCCGTACTGAATCGAAACTTTCGACCTTGACATTCAGTACAAAGATGCTATGCTAATGCTACAATTGAGTAGGGGGCTGTTCACTTATTACGTAACGCGAAAAATGACTTCTTAGACCCCCCCCCTCGTAACAAAATTTGTATGAAAAAAAAATTTCCTTGTTTGAATCGTAACAAAATCTTAGACCCCCCCTCCCCTAAAAGCGTTACGTAATAAGTAAATGACCCCTAGGGACTAGTAAATGCTAAAATAAGCATTAAAATCCTTACCAGACACTTACAAAACATATCTGTTGGTGGGTATTTGTTCAAGTGCTAAAAATAGACTCAAGTTAGTTCCTTTACAAATAAAATAAATTATGTAAGTTGAGTCCGAAAATAAAGTTTATCCAAAAGCTCTTTACATCACAATAAATGCGTGGGTTTATAAATTTTGTAGGCATTCGTTTGAATGTTTCAACTCAATTTGTTCTTCTTGACTAAATTTATGTACACAATTCTAAACTTTTTATTACTTTTTTAAACTTTTTTTTTGTATTTTTCTGTAAATGCACTCAATTCACGACATGATAAATTCTTGGGGGTTGTTCATAAATGATGTCTAATTATCAGAATCGAGAAATTTTCTAATTTTTGAGGGTATGCTTCAAGAGAACTAGTTATAAGCGTCAACTAAGGGAGGTCATTGATTACAATTGATCTATACGACCAGTGAAGTAAAGTAAGTAAGTAAGTATGACTCAAGGGTGCGGAACTGATGAAATGATCAAAAATGATATCAATTCCGCATTTTTGGTATGTTTCGCTTGATGTTAGTCTACAAGGTGTACAAAAAGCCCTCACATCAACCGCCTATTCTAGTGAACGAAGTATAAAGATAGCAGAGGAAGGGAGGGCAGGAAGGTAGGCATTCCACACTGAAAACATAAATCATGTTAAATTTCATTTTCCGTATTTGGTAAGTCTTAAACCACAAATTCATAATGTACGTTACTTTTAAACGACCCTCAAAACTTCAGATTAATTTATCTAGGAAATTAAGACAAAGAATTTTGTGTAAACAAGTCTAGAAGAAAGTTAGCAAAACGAATCTAAGAAGAAGTTCCCAAAAGTGATTAAAGATTTTTATCTTTTTTACATTTTCGTGAAAATAAAGTTTTTGTCTTGAACAAATCGAGAGCTCGAGTTCCTTGAGCTTTAGGCAGGTAAATTATTGTGTCATGAACACACACAAGAACAAAAAGTCTAAACTTGAAAATTCTCCTCTCGAGGTTCAAAAGCTTTCGTCTATTCATTTGCTTTCCTATGAGGTGGAGGTACGAGAATGCAAGGCTTTTCTAAGGGGATCCATAATTGATTCTTTCGAGTCTTTAAAGGAGTCCGATCTATTAAACAGTTGAGAACAAAAAATATAATTTTTTGTCCCCATCCTCAACATAATCATCCCACCTACATCCATGTCTCTTCGTATATTTTTCACATTAATGCTTGTCCTGAAAATTTTCATTACGTGTCTTTATGCCTTTTAATTAGCAATCAACAGAAATTGCTTTTATATGTATAAACATTAAAAAAAAACCGTCTATGTTGTTGGTTAAAAACTTTGCTCATTCGAAGCTTTCGTTTACTTATCACGCATGAAAAACAACATAAATTGATGTAATTATTATTTTTTTTATGTGAATCAGAGTAAAATTGTTTGTAATAAATAACGACGAGGGAAACAAACGGGAATCTCTGTCAACATGAATGTTTAATTCAGGATTGAATAATAAGTTTATTGTTGTAGTTTCATTTATTTGTAAAGTAATTATTTTTATGGGCTTTATTTTGTCTTGTTGGGAATTATTGAAATTCACTTCTGACGTCCATAAGGGGGGGTCAGTAACAAAAAAAACAATTGAAATTCCACCGATAATTTCGGATGTCATAAGTGAATGAGCCTTAATAGGCTAAGAGGTAGAGCATTGGCCTTAAGTGTTTGAAGTGTCTTAGGTTCGATTCCTGATGACAGTTTCTAGAGCTATTTTACCCTAGAAATTAATAATTGACGTAAAATCCAACGGAGTGTAATATAATTTAACTGCGACTAAGGTTTGTGCCTCGAGTAGCTATAAAAATGGAATTAGCAGAAAGCTTGTTGTTCTTTACTTGTTCTTTACTTGTTCTTTACTTGTTCTTTACTTGTTCTTTACTTGATCATTACATTAAATATGCCAGTAAGATTAGTTTATGTTTAGGGTAATGAAGTATTATGCAAAGAATTAAGCTCCAATTCCAAGTATACAAGTATTAAGTAGAATCCGCTTAGACAACTAAGAATATTGCATGTTAAATTATAAATTCATAATGCTAGATGCATTGTGCAGTGTCAATCGTCAGCTATACCGATCCAGCAGAGTTTAATATTTCAAAAATTACCATTGCGCTGATTACATTCCCAATTCCATCCACAAATCCTAGAACCCTCTTAACATAATTTGTTGCTCGATTCGAAAATATTTAATAATTTCCTGGAATTTCACGTTTCCTTTTCCTTCAATCAACGAAATAAAATGCGCTCTAATCAGCCATCATACAGTAATTACTTTAATAGTTTTTTGTTTGTACATTTAATTTTTATAAGCAACAATCCTTTTCATACATGACGAGGATTGTTATGCGAACGAGTGAGAGAATGAGAACTAATTAATTCAATTATGGTGGTTTTTAATCAATATATTACGTTGATAGTCACGAAAAGCCTGCGAGTATAATTAATAAGTTAAATGCGAGAAAAGTAGGCACTAAGAACCCGAGTGAGGCACAATCTTCAAGGCAGTCGTGTAGTTGCTTGATGTTATTAATGTGCCAGCCACTCGATAGCCTTGACAATTGTATGCAGCTCAAGTTATTAGGCATAGATTCAGGCCTAATCGTTAGAACTCGACCAAGTCACTGCTCTGTTTATAATGAAATGGCAAAAATGACATTAAATGTTGATTAAATGCCACAGTACCAAAGTGTGCCGCTCGGGCAGAGAGTCTAATGTAGGAAATTTTATTCTCTATTTATCATTATTTATGGTATTTTATTATAAAGTTGGTAAACTCACCCAGTCCATAATACAAATTCTACATTATCTCCTTGCTTTTCTTTCATTGCTTTTGCTGCGGTTTCAAGGAGACTCCATGGACTATCGCATTGATAGTCACCGTAGAAACCTGGAGCTCTTGAATTACTTTGATGATGCTCAAGATACCAACAACCTGAAAATATATCCGAAAAAAGAATGAGAAAGAATATTTCATTATTATGGTAGGAAGCACAAAATTCCTAAATGTATGGAATGTTTATTGTCTAAAGAACTTCAAAGTTTATTGTGTATCTTCTTCAGATGAGAATAAAATAATAAATGTTTAGGGGTAAAGCAGAAAGAAGAACTTATTGCAGAAATATGAAGCTATTAAATTTTGGCATTAAGATGAAACTTATATACAACTGCATGAAGGAGGGGAAAAGAGACAGAAACATACAATGAAAGCAGCAATAACGACAAAAAAGCATCATAAATTTTTATGAATATATATTTTTTTATAGAGCAACATAAATTATCATAATATTTATGACATTAAAGAGGCACTATAGAATATAGTTCCTCCATCTCCCTCCATTCTACTTCATTTATTTCGTACACAAGAGGTTTTCGTGGCCTAGGTTATGTGATGCATACGTTATAAGTGAAAATTGAGAACAACAAAATTTGTGCTAGGCGTAGATACAACTTTTTCGGAGGTTTAGTTGTTTTTTTGAACCGTTTGGTGTTTCAACAATAAAATTGCAAAATTAATGCTTCAGTGACTGAAAGGTCAACAATGTTTTCTTTTTAATAGATGTCAATACAAAATAAAAGGTAGCTTTTGGTTAGATCTATGCTTTTTGTTTTATGCTCATTGATATACTTAACTCCATGGGAGTTATGTTTAAGCAATAAATGATTAAAATTCTAAAGGTTCTTTATGAAAAAGATTACAGCCCGATTCTTGAACTGTGGCTACGATGATAAGTACGAGCATACCTAAGAATAAGGATGATTTAACCAAAGGTTGGTTTTGAGAGCTACCTGGAGCACCCTACTCTTTAATTTGAATCACAGTGCCTCCAGCTCAAAAGGTCTGTTTCTTCTGAAGCTATTGTTTCCCTTGTTTCAAATGAATTCTTCATATTCACACAAAATTTTCCTAGCACCTAGAGTGCTTTGGGTAGTCCTTGAAACCAATCTTAGCACTTAACAAAATTTGTCTAAACTGTTTCATAGCGCTGAATAGTTTACTGAAAACCAATGCTGCTGTATCTTATTTGTATCTTATCCTGCCAAGCAGAGGCATAGCCAGGAATTTGAAGAGGGGGGGGGGGGGGGGGGGGGGATAAATTTTTTTTTTGTATGGAAAAATTTTTTTTTTGTATGGAAAAATTTATGGGGGGGGGTGATTTTTTCATAAACCCCTAGCAAAATAAAAAAATTTCTGTTTATGTTGGGGGATTTGTCTCCCAAATCCCCCCCACCGGCTACAAGCATGTCACCAAGCGATTGTATCTTGTTCTAAGTAAACAATCTGCTGAACCGCTTATTTATTATATTTTAATCAATTTCTGCTAGTCCTACTTTATCAAACGTAACTTGATAGTCACCCAACTCAAGATCATTTTCATTTTGCCTAGAAACCCCTAAGGACACTTGAAGCTACTTGAAGTAATAATTTTTCGTATTTAATGAGCTGCTCAGAGCATTATTTTCTTGTATTAACGATTTTCATTGTAACAACAAGGTTGCATGAAAGCTACCTGATTCTGTATTAAAGGCAATAGATTCTTTTTGTTAAAGGTTTGAAATAATTTAATTTAATTTTTTTTCTGTGATTTTTAGCAGTGGCTATATCTGCTAGAAAAAAACAAAATAAAATTGATAATCAAAAGTGTCCACGCACTAGAGCTTTTGTGACCTCGGCCATAAAAACCAGAGAGTGTGGGTAAGCACACACGAGAGAAGAGTATGAAAATATTGGAAAAAGGAATCGCATAAATAATAAAACAGAAAATGAAAAAATAACATAAACGCAATACAGAAAGAAGAAGAAAAAAAAATCAATAAAGAGCTTTTGACAAACAACAGCGGCAACAGAGACCTCACTCCTTCCACATACACATCATAAATTTTGAGTGAGTATATACATGTACACAAAAGCTTAGCTTGCGGCTGTTTCATATCGTTACTGTTTTTGTAATGGAAACAAACAAGAGCCAAAAAAAAAGTAAATTTTACTTACTTCGTGAAATGTCACCCTTTGTTGAATACTGTGAATCGAAATGTAAATCTGTTATGTGCCAGAAATAACCTGAAAGAGAAAAGAGAAAAATCGAGTAAGAATCAGTGGTTAAACTTCTTTTGTATTTTACTATTCTCAATGTGATCTAAAATCCGTTGTTGAGATTACAACAAAAGCGTAGGATTGGTAAATAGGATCATATAGAGGTTAGACGTCGTCATAGCCATTGTATATTTAGACATAAATGCAAGGGGGAACAATGTGATGGGAAACAGTTTTGATTGAATATTGTCAACTTCTTAGCATGGTAAAAAAAATTTACGCCAAAAATTAAAATTCTGCAGAAGTTACCAATTGAAGTTATGTCTTCCCGCCAAAACATATCCCCATCATGTTGTTACCCCCTTCCATAAATGCGTCGGCATGTGATCTTTTTTTTTTCAACAAATATATTTTCATAACCATACATTCGTATGTCCTTGTGTATATCCAGCATACTTTGTGTGCAAATTGAATGAAGATGAAGCAAAAAAAATCTAGAATTTTTGATCTTTATGAAGATATTCTAGATATTGCTGTATTCATATGGTAAACAAAAAGAAATTTCATCCATGATTTAACCTTAAAAAATAAGCCTTAAAAATCGATATTTCAACCTAAAGCTTGTTTATTGTATAAAGTGATTCCTATTATTCTTTAAGAGATTGCTTTGATTTTCTTTTATGTCTAAGGAATTTACTTGTTTCTGGGTTATTTAAAGATATCAATGTAAATTCGTTTGGGTTCTTGATTCTATGAATATGATTTAACAAGCTAGTGAAATTTTCTGAGAATTTTGACTTTATATCAATCTTAAAATGATGAGTTCTCCTTTAGATTTTGGTTTGACAACTTACTTACTTACTTCTATATCTTATGGCCTCCCTTATATGGCACCTAAAGCTGGCTCTATCGCTGGCTACCGTTTGCCAATTACCAAATGCAATACTGTCTCTGTCAACAGCTTCTTTTCAAGAGTTCAAGAATGATCTTTTGCCATCTACAACAAGTTAAAATAATTGCGCCTATTCAAAAAACCCAATCAATCCAAATCCCACCAGAATCCTCAAATATTCCAACTTACATGACCTTAATTACCCACAAGTTAATTAAGACTTAGTAAATATCTATTTTGTTCCGTATATCTAATGAGTAAATGTTTGCCTTTTATTCTGCTTTGATTTCTCATTCGGTCATGCGATCACTGCACCAACTGATTCATTGCTCTGATATTATTAATGATTAACTCAACGCTAATGTACATAAGTCAATGATACTGATTGTAGACAGATAGCTAATGTTGTGTTATACATGGATAGAACAAATGTATTAAGGATTGGTAAACAAGAGCATGTGGAGGTCGCCATTAGACTGCTGTGAAAAATCATTGAAATGTTTTATGATCTTTTCAACATCCACTGATAGTTTGATAAAGCTTCTTCCTCCTCATTCCTTGATAGAATTTTACTCAGAATCATTAAGTTCTCATTCTATTTAATCATTGATCGATTTACAGATCTAGCTACAAAAGATAAGTCATTATTCATCCCCCAAATGATAAACTAAGTTCCCTTTCATAAGTAATCAATATCAAAGATAAAATCAAACCCGTGAGATTGAATAAAACCCACAAAATGAATTCTTTAACAAAAATTATTTATAATCTTCACCATCAACACATTTCAGCCCACAACAAAGCTTTGATATTTTGACTTATTTAATCCTTGTTTAGCTTTTCCTCAAATATTATTTATTTTCACCTTTGAACTTCAATCCTTGATTCATACCTTCATTAATTTTTCATATTTTCCTTTCTTCTTCATAAACTGATGTGAATCTACCAACATTCTTATATTTCTTGATTGGGGCTCTTTGCTGATTAAGTATGTTAAGAGAGAAACCCCTCCCCCCATGTTAAGGTTATAATATTGAAGGCCCCACCTCTTTGGTATTGAGTTTTGGATCCAAACTTTTCTTTGTTTGAACTTTTATAATATTTGGGTTCAATCCATTGACAACTACACGTTATAAGTGAACAACCCCTTTAGTAAATGTAATGTTTATAAGATTGCAAAAAATAATATCCATCCTTTAGAATCCATAATGTTAGAAGGTCTTATAGGAATGTATACATTATTTTTAAGTAGGTGGAAAGACCTGAGCTCGAAGTCGACTCGAGTTGACCTCGAGATTGAACTTTTCTCGAGATGACTATATTTTCTCGGATTCAACTCCGAGTCAACTCGAGTCGACTTGAACCCTTTCGTCTTCGAGATCTGGGAAACCCTATTCGTTATGATCTTTACATCAATATTAGAACCAGAGTTGAGACTTGGTTGAGACAAACTTAGTTGTAGATTTATTGCAATTAATCAGCTATTTCCTGCAAGTTATCTTTACGATTTGTCTTCCAGGGGAGTAGCAAAAAAAATCGGGGATGTCCAAAAAATATTGTACTTTTTGTCTATTCTAACGTTACAAAAATGATTAAACCTGCCAACTTGACACTCTTGGAATTTCCTTGGCTTTATCTTTATACATCAGATAGTAACTAAGCAGAAATGCTGAGGTGTTTATGAAAAAGGTACGAAGTTATATCTTATAAAATAACAGAAGCTATTGCTAAGCCACAGCATTGACTGAAAACCTCATCAGCTTGCTCATGCTAAAGTGTGCCTAATGGCATATTAATATTCTCAATAATTCAACATAAACCTACAAAAGTTGAGAAACCTGCAGTTATTTACACACCCCACCTCTGCTCTAGAATAGGTGGATATAAACCAAAATTTTCAGAACCAAAAAGCGATATATTTTCAGTGATTTGATATCATAATAAACGGTTGAATGCTTTTTTGATAAATCCTCAAGCAATTGTGTAGAATGATATGCAAAAAAAATGTGGAATATGAAATTTTTTTATGAAAAGGAACGATGATGTTGGTGGAATTGAGGAGGCGGAAAAGCGATACACACTTAGGAATCAGTACAAAAATAAAATCTCGATTTTGTAGCGATCAATATTTTTTTTTTGTTGCTCCTCCTGTAGCATACTGTCGTTACTGTCAATGGAATATATTTTTTTATAAATTTTAAAATAATCTCCATTTATCCTCATACACACGAAAAACACACCCAATATATCAGCTTTCTAACACATTTGTCGAAATGAAAATGAGAAAAAGTTTGTGTTCGACATTTTATCATCGTCGTCATCATCATAATGTAATGTGTGTATGGATGATAATGGTGATGATGAAGCAGACAAGAGAAAAAAAAATTGTAGGATCAATAAAAACTTCCGACTTTCCTTTTCATATGTGTGTGTGTTTTATAGAGAATTAATGGGCAATTCTGTTTATTTTGGCTCAATGTCTGAGAGATTATCAGATTGATTACTTTGGTTATTGACTGTGTGCTTGTTATGTCCTGTCCTAATGATGTGATTTTAATGAGTCTTTTGTTAATGTTGTCTAAATCTATATTTAGTACGACATATTGATGGTAGATCATTGATAACTGTTTGTTGCAACCTTAGCTTTAACTTAGAGTGTGGAACTAATCAGAATGATCAAAAACTAGCTTGTAAGTAAGTGTTTAGGTCTATCATCACCCTTAAGCTCAAGGTCAGCTGATTTTAATGAATTTCCAAGCTTTTTGATTCTATCAGGAACTTTAGATGTAACATAGCATGTTTTAGGGGTCATTAATAAATGATGTCAAACTTTTAATAATTGAAAAAAGACTGACACTTTAATTCAACAGAAAAATACTACTGGTGAAGTTGGAAAGGGTTCTAAAAATACTATTTTATAATCCGACGTTATTTATGAATCACTCCTTATATCTATCAACTTTGTTGAATTTTACCATTAAGCAATATCTAAATCGATTTCACAAGTCAAATAATTCTAGTAATCAAACCCATTAAAAAGCTAGTTTTAAGCTTGTCAATATGAATTTAGTGTTAGCCTTACTAAAGCTATAAGCTTGCTTAAAACTAACCATTATTAAAATCAGAGTGGAATTTAAAGAGTCAACTCATAAGAAGGCAAATTTGTCGTTGTAAGATCAAGGTCTCTGTGGTCGAGTGGTAAGAAGTCAGCCTAAAATATGTGTTCGATTCCCATCAGAATCCGATTTCTCAATCACTACACAGAGTGTTAATGTTACATGGATTTCCAAAATGTTAACGACACTATACAGGCGACATGCATGCGTCCCATCTCCACATCACATCATGAATCCTTCCAAACTCTTTTATCTCATGTTTTTGACAACTTTGAAGCCATTTCAAACAAGACAGCATAAGAAATATCATATTCCTATGAGTATAGTAAATAAAAGGAAGTTAAGCTTCTTTTTTCTACATAAATAGAGCAAGAGAAGGTGAAGAGAGTACATAGACATATAAGGATGTTATGAAACTATATAAAGTAATACGGTTGTCATTGTTTTATGAGTTCAATCTCTTCTATCCTTCTCACACTCATAAGCTTTTTTGTTGTCACGATGGGGCCTCCATAGTTTATTATTCCCTTAGATTATATCATCCACAATTACTTTTGTCTGCGCTTCATTTTTTTTCGTTTCATTCTAGTTGAAACAACACACTAAAAAAATCAGCAGAAAGGCATTAAAAAATACATTATGTATACATATAAATATGTTGAAAACTTTTATTTTCTGTAGTAGATTCATGAGATAAACTTTTTATTTCGGATGGAGGTTTTTTTTTGCATTTGGGACTAAGTATTGCTGCCTTTTATTTGACTTTTTTTTTGTTGTGTCGGTATATGAGCCGCAGCAGCAGCAGCACTGGTGGTAACAGTAGTAATAACAACCAGCACAAAAGGGAAAAAAAAGAGATTCCATATTTATATAATTTTATACGAGAGATGCTAGAGAGAACTTAAACCCAACGAGACTATATATGCATGTGTATTTAATAAATAAATGTGTATGTAAGCCAAAAAGATATTTTATCTGAGATATAAATTTCATTATTCATGAATCTTTTATAGTTACTA